GCACGGCTTGCTGCCGCAGCAGCCCCACGTTACCCATTTTTTTCCCAGCAGTGCTCTGAGAAGCTCTCTGCCGTGCTCTCACTCGGCTGAAGCACAGAAGCACTCGAGCTACAGTGCTGAGCGTCAAAGACACCCAGAAGAAAGCGGCCACGCTCACCTGGAGACCAGGAGCTTCTCCTGCATCTGGTGAGAGACAGCAGGCACCTTTTCAGGTACAGGTAAGGGCCAAGGGGACCGCTGTCTTGCTTGTAGTGTTGCAGTGACTTTTCCTGAGCGTGACCCATGGGACCTGCTTGTGGGGACGCTGGTTAGCAGTGAGAGTACCCGGTGATCCAGCTGCACGCTGTTCCTTCAGTGGCTGGGGCCTGGGTTGGGTTGGGTCGGGTACCAGCTGGGTGCCCGCCTTCCTGCACTACCCCGAGCCCCACTGGCAGCGGCACCAAGGGATGGGCAGCACCAGAGACGAGGCGATGCAGGGAGCAGGAGGTGTCTGAGTCCAGCCAGCTCGGTGGTCAGCTAACAAAGGTACCCTTATCTATGTCTCGGAGGGGGAAACAAAAAAGCCCAAACCCACAACTGTAGCAATGTAAGGCGAAACACTGAATATTTTCAGTATCCAGAAGGGCGAGTGGCCCATGTGAAGCCATATGTCAGCTAACAAATGCAAGCAGTCACCTGCAAGTGTGAAGTGTAACCAACACAAAAAGCTGAGTGCCATGTTCCTTTCGAAAGTGTTAGTGACTACAGTCTCATCGGCAGGTTGCTAAGATGCTGAATTTCCTGGGAAACAGAGAAATACACGGCTCTAAAATAGAGACAGCAGGAAACTCACAAATTGTGTCTTAGTTCTTTTATTGCAGTGAAAACCTGCACAGTACTAGCCTACAGAAAGGATAAAAGCTACAAGTAACTTTTCATCAGAAAGGAGTCAATCCAAGGTAAAAATGACCTAGAAATCATAGCTGTTGCAAACAGTAAAGTCTGAGTTGGGACCTCCAGCTCTCGTTTCCCGTTGGAGTGGGTCCATAGATCACAGGGTTCTTGACGGAAGTTTCTCCTTTAACAAGCTGGGGAGGTGAAGAGGAGAAGCAGATGAAGGGACATGTTTTTTCCACGAATTACACAAGGTGCTGGGAAGTGTCTTGCCTGGATTCAGGACTTCAAAAAGTAATTTTTTAGCAATTGCTTTCCGCCCCCCACCCCTGCCTCAGTCCATACATGTGTTTTCTAACTATCATCCATATCAGAAAAAACAAGTTATGATGAATTGTTTCCAGTGCATATTACACTGCGGGGAGGGTTGGAATTGGCTGGGGCTACTGGTTATCTATGTTAGATAAGCTGAAAAGGTCAATCCTAATTAAAAAAACAGAAGTAGGGGATCAGAAATTTCTGTAAGTTTCATTCCACTTTTCTAAAGCAAAGCCTTTTATCTCTTGTGATAAAGTAGATGTGAGAGCGTGCCAAGCCCGGGCAGAGCAGGGACTCTGCCAGGAGCTGTGGTGTGTCCACAGGGACAACGTCTTTGTGCAGGACATTACCTTCCTCCACCGTGCGGTGGTAGAAGCACCAGGGGACACCGGCGGGATGTGCCCTGAAGCAGCAGCCCCTCCTTTCGCACTCCTTAGCCGTGATGCCAGGAAAGCCACAGTTTATCCTGCCACGAGAATCGTTGGGACACACTTTCCTGACTGTGTAAAGGAAGGAAGAAGGCCGTGTTACTTTATGCTCTGTTTAGCTGGCAGCATAATTCACAAATAGAAGGCAGGCCATGGAGGTGAGGTCAGTGAGCAGACCTGACAGCTATGATGACCTGCTCCATACCAATCTCAGGCAGCGGGCTCACCCAAATCCTTACCATGTCTGTTAGGGAACGCTAAATACCAAGGGGTGAGGAATTGCTGCTGTGCCCCCGGGGCCAAAGGTGGCAAAATTGGCCCCTAGAAGCAGCTGGTAGGCAGCAACCCAGCTTTACATTTCCTAGATCCAGCAATGGGGCAAAAAGCTGTGTGTCTCCCATAATGGTATCACAGACACTGGCCTTGGACCAGGGTATGTTTGTGACCTGACCCAATGCTAACCCCATCGCAGCCTGGCTAATGCAGGGAGAGGAAAATCCAGCCTCCTTTGCATGCCAGCTTGAGTTATGGAAAGGAGGCAGGTCATTTAGGACCTACCAGGTTCACAGGGAAACAGGTTATACCACCCGGCCTGAACAATTCAGTCTTCCTCTTCTGAAACGAGGAGAGGAAACTCCTCTGCTCAGAAAAGAAATTCTATGAAAAGAACACTGTAAGGTGCTGCCATTTGTTTTTCACGATTTTCATGAAATGCAAACAATGTTCAAAAGCAAAATATTTTTTTTTCCTCTGTCAATTCTGAACCCTGTTGACCAACCTTGATTCATATCAAGTTCTTTTATTGGGTAACACTGCCTTTGCACCCTTACTTCCTTTCATTTCACCTATGCAGCTGCTGAGATTGCCCTGAAGTTGTCCTAAGCAGGAGTCACGCGGTCAGCCCAGCAAATGCAGCTGACATTCAGCAGTTATGTCAAATATGCACCCAGTCCTTGATGGACTGGGAGAGCAGCTCTCACCCTCTCTAAGAAAAAAAAGACAAAAGATTGAAGCAGGACTTTTGAAGTTTTAGAAGGAAGAATCTAATAGAGAAAAGGATTTCACCTGGGATATTTTGGAGATTTCATGGAATGAAGAGTGGGAGCAAAAATGAAGAAAAGAGAAGAAGAGAGATAAAAGAACCATGAAATGGAGTTATGCTGGGAAATGGGCAGGAGAGGAAGGAAGCAGCAATTATCAAAACAGGCTGGAGAAAAGAGCAGAAAACCTAGAATTTACAGGATACCTGTAGTCTTTTGTATGGGTGTCAGAAAACAACAGAGGGACTTTTCTACTCAGGACTTTGACAGGCAGTGCTAAAGTCATCCTCAGCCACATAGAACACCCATTTAAATAAGTGCTGAGGATCCCTTGCTCTACTGATGAACAAGACCACAAATAGCAGTGAAATGTTTTTAAATAATCAGCATGGGTTATTTGCTTTCTAGAAGTCTGAAGGAAGAGAAATAATATTGTGTGAAAAGCATGAGACAAAAGGCTGATGGGTAAGCAAGGTTTGACACTGCATTTTACTACCTGTGGTCTTCTCATAGAGGTTTGTGCCCACTTCATCGGCCTAAGAAGAACAGCAGATCTGCTCCCCGGTTATACATATTTCTGCATATACAAACACGAGGTAAATCAGCATTTCTGACAAAGATATTACCTTTCTTTGCTTTAGGAGAAAAGCACCAGGGAACGCCGGCGACTGAAGCATTGAAACAGCACCCAGCTTTCCTGCACTCCGCTGCTGTGATTCCCGGGTAGCCGCAGTTCTTCCGCTCCTTGGGGCCCTGTTTGCACTGGCATTTTGCTGTTCAGCACAGAAATAGCAAGTTAATGGCTGTCAGTGTGCACACTCACCAGTGGACGTGCATTTATCAGATGTCCACTGGGAACAGTGATCTTTCGCTAGATTCTGTCCATCTTTGCAAGCGTACCTTTTCTGTCGCTTGCTAAGACCAGAACTCACGCGGGTTAAAAGCTGCTTTTAAAGTCCCACCAATTTCAGTAGGGTTTGTACTCCACCCTTTGAGAACCTGTGGTCTCACTTGCAGCCAAGCCAGCCCAGCACAGTTGGGTCTGTGGACTTCAAATAGACCACATCCAAACAGTAAAACCCCGTAACTTCAAATGTCACAGAATCACTGAATCACAGAATATTGGGGGTTGGCAGGGACCTCTGCGGGTCATCTAGTCCAACCCCTCTGCCGAAGCAGGGTCGCGTACAGCAGGCTGCACAGGACCTTGTCCTGCTAGTAGATGTTTGTTGCTTTGCCTATCTCATGTGAAGAAAGCAAGAGTTAAAGGTCCAGTGGATATTTAAACAGTTGTAAAGACACAAAATCTTTGCATGCTCATCAGAAGACTATAAAAACATAGGAATACATGCAAATAGTTGTGGCTATACTTTTAACATTTTAAGTCTACTGCACAGTCATCCGCAACCAAGAAATTCTGGAGATGTCCTTAGATGTCTGTCATTGAGTTACTCGCTTTCCACTTCTTATCTAAATGGCTTGTCTTTCATTGAGGAGGCAGACAGACTCCTTTGAAACTGTATTCGTGTAGCAAAGTAGCATAAAATAGGTGTCAGAAGACTATTTAGACAAAGCTAGCTCCTGTTCCAGTCCTGGTCCTGTGCTAGCGAGCCCCTGAGCAAGTCTGTCCCTCTGCTTTTGCAGCAGGTTGCTGGTTATTCCACCAACGCAAGAGTTCACCTGCGGTCTTTTCTCTTTTGCCATAGATTTCTCTGAAAAATTTATAAAGTACACTCCAACTTTGGTCATAGTACCAGAGCAAGACATTTGCTGTCTGGTACATAAACTGGAGACATGCTCTTGCTGCAGTTACAGTCAGGAGGATCAGGCCCACATACATACCTCTGAAGGCAACAGCAGATGAATGTACTTACTCAGTGATGCATTTCCCTCTGGCAAGGTGCTGAGGGCTACGACGAGGATGAAGGAGAGCGCACAGATTGCTTTGAGAACCATTGCTGTTGGAAGGTGGCTGTAGGAGAGGTGCCACTCTCCCTGGGAGCAGCTCGATTTATACGCTCCTTGTGTTTGCCCGGCGAGGTCTGATAACATTGTTCCATCTGATGCTTCACCCAGAGGTTGGGTTTTCTTTTGTTTAAGTAGGAAATGTTGCCATGCGTATTTTGATATCCGTGAGATAAATTTCTAGCCTCCCGTGAGCTATAGATCACGTATCCATTACATACCTATAGATACATATCTATTATGTGATCCCATAATCCATCAAATGGATGCTGCTGGGTGCCTCCGGCAGCCCCAGCTGATTCCATTGCCATTAGAGTATTTCAGAGCTCTGGGCAGCTCTAAATGGCTGCCACTACTGAAAAATATGTACATGTATTTCCTATCCAAGTGTATCTTTTCTGCCTCAATTTCCCCCTGGCCTTAGGGTTTTGGTTATGCTTACTCTGAAATGGGTAAGGCAGGAGGGGAGGAGGTCAGGCTCTGGAGCAGACCCCCTCCCAGCCTGAGGCTCCTGTCCCGGGGGGCTGCAGAAGGGGCAGCCCCCACCCCCGCTGCCCGGTCCCCAGAGCAGCGTATCACTTTGCAACATGTCCAAAACCACGGGCAAGTGATTTGCCAGGAACAAATTTCTAAAGCACCAGGCTTTACCTATTAATTTCCTGACTGCTTTTCTCCTGGTTTCAAAGATGGCCCCTAAGGCAGCCTTTGGGCTGTTTCAAGACAGCAGGCCTTGGGACTTGGACTGCTCGGTCAGGCTTTAATCTCACTTTCAGACATTCTTCTACCATTTACTGTCACATTTCTTAGCTTCTAGCTACTTCCCAAGGCTTGAACACAAGCAAAGTAGTGCCAGGGAGGGGGAGACAAGCAGTGGGATGGTGGGACTATCTCTGCACCCTCCCAAAAGAAGCACCTGCAGAGCGGGCAGGACCAGCCACCGTCCCCATGGTGCTCTGCAGCATCCCTTTCCCCATGGGAAACCCATCAGGAAATTCTTCCTATTAGTCACCAAAAAGGGGATTCAATACCGTTTTTTGACCTTTGGCAGAATTGTCTCTTCATGCCTTTGATTATTACATACAAGTTTCTTTTGTGCCTCTTTCCTAGCCAAAGATCAAAGTGAAAACTTTTAACTTCTATAGTTGCGTTTTGAAGGTAATTCATTTGTTGAAAAGTATTTTGAATCCCGTGGGAGAGATTGTGGTCTACAAGGGAAAAAATCATAGAGCTCATTTTCCTGCTGTTTAACTTATTTAATACTTTCTGGACTTTATTTATGTCCATCCCGATTGAATATATCAATGGCACTTCTCATTGAAAGTCTTGATTTGTAAACTAGACATTCTGTGTATCCTTCATTTCACAAGATACCAAGCTGCAGGCAGAAGAGGACTGTGTTCCAGCACTCAGCAGTGCTTATCACGCCTTTTACCTCCATCGCTGGGAGAAAACATCAGACTTCAAGCTCAAATATCCATTTTTCTCCTTGTGTGCAATGTCAACAGTTCTCCCAAAAGCCCATTGTGGTGCCTGTCCAAGCAAAGTCGTTAGTAATTTTTCCGTCAGCTTTCATCTCACGGTGCAGGGGGTGAGATTGGCTGAAACCCTGCCCGTGCACGAGAAGAAAGCAGCCATCCCAAGGGGGGAACCCCGCTGCTTTCAGACCTCCGTGGAGTTCTCAATTGATCGTCGGCCCATCGCGTGAGTCAGGTGAAACCGCTGATAACATTTGTCCCTCCGGCTTCTTACTGGACATTAATTAAGTCCTTATCTGTCAGCTGTCACCTCTTGGGCCCGATCCCAACTGCGTGCGCAAAGGCAAATCTACCACCGTTTTCTGCTGCGGAAAGAGGGTTTGATTGGCATCTTAAAGCAAACAAACTAAAAGAAATAAGCTTCTTGCTTTCTGCCAGCAGATTACTTTAAGATCTTTAATATGTTTATATAGAAAAGCGTTGAAAATTATCTGGGATTTCCCTGTAAATGTGTTTCCTTCCCCAAAGCTGGCACCTACCTAGACCTTTTGGTAGCTTGGTGTAGGGCATCCAGGCTCTGAGTGCCTGTGGCCAGAAGGGGCTTGGAGGGCTCCTTCCCTCCCTACAGCCTCCGTGTCCTCCCTCACCACCCTCCTCCAGTCCCACGAGGCTTTTAGCTGAACTGCAGTGCTCTGAGTTCCTTCCCAGCAGGGAAATGGAGAAATCACCACAGCTGGTACCTGCTACGGACCTTCTTGCTATGGGTCAGTAACAAGCTGCAACTTCTTATTCTGATATTGCAGAAGTTTTAAAGGCTGTGGGGTTTTTTCTTTTTCTTTTCACTTAAAAACAAAGAACCAGCAACCAACAGTACAACTTAGTTTTTCATCCTGAAGGGAGTTTTTCATCCTAAAGGGAATTTTCTTTAGTGGTAACTGTTAGTATGAGTGCTGACCTAAGAAATCTGTCATTGCGCCAACACCACTGCATGTGAGCCTGCAAAATAAATCCTAAGTTTTGAGTGCTCCCTGAAATAAATCATCATAAAAGAAAGAAAAAATCAGAAACAAAGGAGAGGGGAGTCTTCAGCAATTTTTCTCCTTCCAGCTGTGCGAGGGGTACTCAGCAGGAGGAGGGGCTCAGGAGCAGGGATAGTCCAAAACCACCACTTAGATGAACCTCACTACATGCCGCTCATTCACTGCAATACTGTTCTTTATCAGACTGTTTCTAGAAAACATAGCGATGAGTAGCACGCTCCTCCCTGATCATTAGGCTTATTCTTTTCCTTCCTTCATGATGGCCACTGGTGCCCTGCTTTACCTCTTTTCCTTCATCGTGTTTGGAGGTAGAAGGGGGTGGTGCGGGGATCAGGCAGCGCAGGTGCCTGCTCTCCCTCGTGGTATGGCCTGTAGGACCACAATATTGAAGGAGCGTATTTTTCAGGGTGTACTTCCCATGGGGCCTCTAGCACCATGTCGTGGGGCTGTTCTACCATGACAAGTTATATGGGCAGCTTCTGTACGTCACCAACACAAACCATTCGTGTGCAGGGGCAGCTGCTGCATCTGTGGCGAGCAGGGTCTGGGCTCCCGATGCGGGGACATTCGCCTCAGCGTGCATCTCTGGACAAAGTGCTGTGGCCGGAATTAGGGATGTATGTCTCTTCCAGCTACGGTCCTGCAGACCCTGGTGTTTTCAACAGGCACGCTCCCACGTGCTGCTTGTCCTTGCAAGGCATGGTACAGCCATAAGCTTCCTTGAGGCTCTTTTTAAAACCTAGGGAAAATTAAATAAAGACAAATAAAGCAGGGGGCAGATTTTGGAGTTGCATCTTTCTGCATGCAGCAGGGATCCTGGGCTAATGGCAGAAATCATTTCAGTCCTTTCCAGTCTCTGGTGTAAATTAGAGTTACCTGAGGCTGAAAAACTTGTAACAGAATTTTTAAGCAATGTTACAGTCAATTCCTAATGTTTCTTCTTGTTCTGACCCTGTAGTGATCTATTTCTGAGCCAAACACATCTGGGAATGAAAATTTTGAGAGGCCAGCAAGGTTGTTGGGATTGTGCAGGAGGGTGAGTTTGAACAGAAGCAAAAATACCAGGAAGAGATTCCCAGTAAGATTCACAGCTCAGCACCCGTTACAAGCATCATGGTCTCAGATTGGTATTGGGTTTCCCTAGTAGAGGGTTTTCTCCAGACTGCATGGGAAATCCCCATGTTTTTGAAGCTTAAAGTTCAATATTTTGAGTGTGTGTGTGTGTGTGAGGTATCTAACCGTGTTATTTTTACACAGAAGTCTGCTGTAAAACATGTTCAAAAATTTTATTTCCCACCAACAGGCAGGAGCTGTGCAGAGCGGTGGTACTTGTGCTTGGGCATGGACTGAGGCTGGCTTTCTCTTTTTCTTTCAAGGTGGCCCCCATTTCGGAAGCAATCAGCCAAGCAATGCTTCACAGGGACACTTAAAAATACCACATCTGGGTATATATAAAGCGCGTGAGACTCTAAAGCTTGAAACTCTGCATGTTGTTAAACATAGGCTGAAATACTGGACAGGTGAGATTTTTGGAAAAATCTAAACACAAATTTGTATATGTAAGCCCCTGAAGTCCAGCCAAAGGTTTTGCAGTGCTCTGGTTGTGTGGTTGCTGCCCAGCTTACTTTTGCAAGCTGTGCTACAGAGAGACTTGTTGCATAGAAGTGTCAGCCATCAGAGCAGGGACAGAGATGTGTCACTATGGAAAAGAGGGGAGGTACTGAGCCAGGGGAAACTGGATATGGAGAGGAACTCTGTGACCCTGAAGTACACCTAGGTTCGGATGTAGATTACTGCAGCAGGCAGCGTCCCACCACACTTCTTGTCACCCCAAGCTGCTAAACTCACCCTCAGCGGGACCAAAATCTGAACAGGTCTGCAGAAGGAACTACAGAAAGAGTAAGAAGCCTTCAGCTGTAAAGGAAAAACAAAGAAGAAAGTAGTAGGAATAAGAGGTACTGTACTACCTCTGATAACCAGTTGTGTGAGGTGTGTTGATCCATGCTGGGAGCAGTGGGAAACCCTGGCATTTCTGGTGTACATGAAGGAGACGGCTGTTAGCCTCCCACATATTTTAACTAGTTGAGTTTTAGCACACAAAAGCCCTCCATTCAGGATGTTATCTGCCTGCCTACCGAAAAACACTGTGGGTTCAAAAAATAAAGAGATAAAACCCTACATCTTAATTGTGGGAATGGACAGTTCAAAGTAACCATTGAGTTCCACCGCTTTGATAAACATACCTACCTAAGATATACGAACGCAGCTGTCAAAACCAGCTTTAGCTTGGTGTGTACAGACTCCTCATAGGGAATTTTGTAAAAGATGTTGTTTCTACAAACCAGAGACAGTGCTGGAGGAGGGCTTTTGTTGCATTCCTTCCACATCATTGTGCAAGGTAAACTGAAAAAAGTAATTACCTGAAGTTAATCAAATATGTAACTCTGAGCTGATTCAGACCCAAAACCCTGAATTT